AGAATCTTATAATCATCTTTGGCTCTAGTCTCCCTTGCACCCATGTAAACAGGTGGTGAAATCATTCAAATAAATTGAACGTGTGTGCGCGCGATCGATCTTTTTAATAATTTAACTGATGTAAAATATATCGAGTGAATTTCTGAAAAAAATTGTTGGACATTTTGGAGAAGTAAAAATGGCAATAATAATGTGGGTAGGATCAAGAGAGTAATTAACGGTTAAATGGGTTTTAAAATTTAGATTGATTAAATAACTTTGAATGACGTATAATATGAGATGACATGTGTATATAATTGGATTCAGCAACATATTGAATTGAAGAGAGATTAGTATGGGATTAATTTAACATTAATCAATATTGTATCTGATAATTATTCTAATTTTGAAATAGGTGGAGTTACGGGCATGGATGATTTTCTGATTAAGTTCTTCCCTAAAGTTCATGAGAGAAAGCTTCATGCAGCAGAAAACAATTACTGTAAATATGATGACCAAATGCTACAGCTTTTTACCTCTTCCTTGTACCTAGCTGCCCTTGTATCCAGCTTTGGCGCGTCAAAAGCGTGCAGTATTTTAGGACGCAAGCCCACTATTTTCTTGGCTTCAGCGTTTTTTATTGCTGGTGCCGCGTTTAGTGCAGCTGCTGAGCAGAAATGGGTGCTCATTCTTGGTAGAATTCTATTTGGGATTGGAGTAGGATTCGGAAATGAGGTATGTCCAATTGGCAAACTTAAGCTATAAGATTTAGTTTCTTTTTCTGTTTTTTTAAAGCTGTTTAGTATTCCTCAAATCACATTTTACATATGTTTCAAGATACTAATAATTAGTGCACTCTCCGAAAATTGCAGGCTGTTCCTTTATTTTTGACAGAAATTGCACCTGCACAGCACAGGGGGGCTGTAAACATTCTGTTCCAACTCTTTGTAACCATAGGAATTCTAGTTGCTAACCTAGTGAACTATGGAACATCTAACATGCATCCCAATGGATGGAGAGTATCACTAGGACTGGCAGCAATTCCTGCATTCGTTTTACTTATAGGTTCTTTGATCATAACCGAAACTCCATCTAGCCTTGTCGAACGTGGCAAAGAAACTCAAGGAAAAGTAGCACTTAAGAAGATCAGAGGTGTTGACAACGTTGATGCAGAATTTCAGCAAATCATTCTAGCCTGCGAACAAGCCAAAAAAGTCCAGAAACCATTCAAGAAACTCTTCAAACGCGAAAGCACGCCGCCTCTAATCATCGCCATTTCTCTGCAAGTCTTCCAGCAATTCACCGGGATCAATGCCATTATGTTTTATGCACCAGTCTTGTTCCAAACACTTGGATTCAAGAGCGATGCTTCATTGTTGTCCGCGGTTATCACGGGTTTAGTGAATGTTGGCAGCACTTTTGTGTCAATTTTTGCTGTTGATAAGGCTGGAAGAAGGAAATTACTTCTGCAAGCTTGCGTTCAAATGTTAATCTCCCAGGTATATACTAGAATCAATAACAAACTAAGATTTGTTCATTAATAAAATTATGGTGGCTGTGTTCGATTCATTCTAGATATATAAGAAAAGATCCAAATCAACAAGATTCTTACCAACTACCACAAGCCATATTAATTTAGTATATCTTTTCTTTTTCTCATGTTCTGCCAAGATCACATCACTCTTATAAATTAAATCTTCTTCAAGTCAATGCAATACCTGTTTGAACCACTCAATTAATCCTTCCCTTAATTTAACTCATCAATAATGTGATCATTCTACAATTAAACAAGATTCAATCAAAGTGATAGTAATCTAAACTATGTTGTCTTGTGATTACAGCTTGCAATTGGATGGATTTTACATGTCCACTTGAAGGAAACAGGTTCACTCGACAGGACTCTTGCAGCCATTGTGGTGATACTAGTGTGCACATTTGTAATGTCCTTTGCATGGTCATGGGGTCCTCTTGGTTGGTTAATTCCAAGTGAAACCTTCCCAATGGAAACAAGAACAGCAGGATTTGCCTTCGCAGTGAGCTCAAACATGATTTTCACTTTCATCATTGCTCAGGCATTCCTGTCAATGCTATGCCACCTGCAAGCCTACATTTTCTTCTTCTTCTCTGCTTGGATTCTTGTAATGGGGATTTTTGTTGTATTCCTATTGCCGGAGACCAAGGGCGTCCCGATCGACTCTATGGTCGAAACAGTATGGAAGCAGCATCCAGTGTGGAAGAAATTCTTCACGGATGAAGCTCCCAAGAGCTATGAGATGGCCTGAACATACACATATACATTCATTCAAGGATAATGTTTTTCAAATCAAATCTTTTTATCGTCTTTGCTTTGTATTGCAATGTGTTATAACTCTTATGGTACATTGTACTACTGGCTATTTTGTGCTTAATTGAATTTCATTATATAAAAATAAACGCGTTGGAAATAAATTATTAGAAATTTATCGGTGGAAAAATATGTTTAATAAAAATGGAAAATAGAGAACCCTACGTGCGGTTCTCTTATTTTTTGAAAATTTCAATTTTATTTAATCAAATTGAACATTACAATTTTATTTAACTATCATTTGATTTTCATTCTTTAACCACAAAAATGAAAATTATAATCATTATGTGTCATGTCAAGACATCATATTTTCTTGAAATAAACTTTTGGACATTTATTTGTGCAAAAAATGGATATGGGTGAACCGTACGTGTGACTTGATTGATTGGTTTAAGGTTATCGACAAGAAAAAATTATGTAAGCCATGTCGCTTAGAAATGAAAAACACAAAAATTTAGATTTTTAAAAATAAATAAAAAATGGAAATTTGTTATTTTTCAATTGAAAGAAAATGAAAAGTGAAAGTGAAAAAGATCGACCATATTCGGTTCTGTGACTATCTAAATAAACAATTCTTATTTTTATGACCGCAGGTCAAAAAATAGTTAAATGTTAAAATTTTAATAAATTAGTTAAACGCAATGGAATTAAATTATTAAGATTCGATTATTTTGGGCTCAGAACATCATTGTACATTCTCTACAAAATGAAAACTCCACAAAGCTAACCCCGAATTGATCGAACAGAGGCAACTACTACAATGGGCCAACAATCAACCCTAACTCTGATTTTTTATTTCTCAACCTCTAATCGAAGAACCACAAAGACTAAAAACACGGACTAAGGAGTTTAACATATTTACACAAAGTACGAAGAAGAAGACTTGACGAATGAGAAGCGACACGAAGAAAGAGAGAGAGAAAACCAGAAGCTTCTCAAACAAAATTAGAGATGAAAAGTCACGTAGGGAAGCCACTCAAGTGGTATTTATACCGCTATTTCATCACCGTTGATTTCAATAGGGTGATCTAACAATTCGTAGCAGCACATGCGTCGTCCAAGATTGGGGTAAGGTTTAAGCCCATTTCATTAAGTGTTATCAGGCAATGGATAAGTAAGCCAGCAAATGGGCAGCGCCCAATTAGACCATTGTCCAATGAACTAGGTCAACTTTAACTTGGCATCACAACCCAATATTGAGTTTGACCTATAACTTTCCTATATAGCATTTATCTTTCTAATTTATTGTTCATTAGCTTGTGAATATTATGAAGCATTCAACAAAAACCACGTTGATTTGTACAAATATTGAGAATTTAACAGATTAATGAAAAAATTCACAGTATTATTTACCTTCAATAAAACCTGGATGCTAGAAGATTTTATTTAAGCAACTCGCAATATGCACGTCTACTATACTGTCTAAAGGCGTCTCAATGCCATCAAGAATCCACGGCGTTACTTTTGTCATTTTAATGAACCAGAGTTTAGGTTTCGGTTCTTCTCATTAAAAGGAAAATCAGGGATCATTGTTTGGGGTTTAAATTTTTATTTAATAAAAATATTGTTTAGAGTTTTATCTCAATATTTGTGTCAATTATTTTGGTATTCTCTTCGAATTGATGAATCGTTCACCTCCAATTCTGGAGTAGAACATACAAGTCTTTTTACCTGTCCACTATTATTTGATTCCAGAGTCTTCATTGACCGCTATTTTAAAGGTCAAAATAATAATAATAATAATAACAACAACAACAACAATAATAATGTGGGTAGGATCAAGAGAGTAATTAACGTTTAAATGGGTTTTAAAATTTAGATTGATTAAATAACTTTGAATGACGTATAATATGAGATGACATGTGTATATAATTGGATTCAACAACATTTCATAGAGATCAGATCTAGACTCGTATTAATTTAGGCCTTGTTTAGGAGGGATTTTAAGAATTGATTTTTTGACCGTTAGAAGAAAAGTGGGGTCCACCTGTAAGAAAAGAAGTCAAAAATTACGATTGAAATGGTGAAATAACGGTAAAAAAATTAATTTTTTTGGGTAAAAAATCACTCCCAGTCAAGCTGCTAGCTTCATCTTAATGTGCCTTTTTTTTAATACCTGTGCTTTGACTAAAAACACTAGAAAATCTCCAAAATTGAAACGAGTGGACTAAATTGTTAGCGCTTATGGATTTGAGTTTCATCTCACTATGCATGATGGTAATCCCATAAACAGTAATCCCATTGTGTACGAAGAAATTTATAATTTTTAATAATTTATATGGCCATTTTAAGCCTTTGTTTCAAAAACTACATTCCATGATCGAAATCTAAGCTCTGTTTCGAAAACTGTGACCGGATAATGCATAAGTTTTCAGAAGCAAAATTTAATAACTTGTGCATTATTTTTCCAAAAATCTAATTCTTGACTATTTTTGGGGAATCTAATTCAACAAATTCAAGCCCGGAATTCTAGTTTATGATAAGAGGTTAGAATCTCTTCAACTGATATGTCTTGAAACGAGAATTCAACGGGCAGTTTTCCAAAATCTTTTCGTAAATTGTGGTAAAAGAACTCATATACGTTTAATATCCACGAATTTATCCGAAGTCGGAGTGCCTAAACTTAGTTAAAAAACCACTATAAAGGGGCCATTTTCATGAAGATTAAAAAACCAAGCCATCTTTCTATTGGGAGAGTCAGGGGCAAAGAATCTTATAATCATCTTTGGCTCTAGTCTCCCTTGCACCCATGTAAACAGGTGGTGAAATCATTCAAATAAATTGAACGTGTGTGCGCGATCGATCTTTTTAATAATTTAACTGATGTAAAATATATCGAGTGAATTTCTGAAAAAAATTGTTGGACATTTTGGAGAAGTAAAAATGGCGAGCAAAGGTGAAGTTTTCAAGTCTAAGATTACAGTTTACGTGTTGGCATGTTGGCTCCTTGCGGCCTTTGGAGGCCTAATGTTTGGCTACGACATTGGTATTTCAGGTGTGTTGATATATGCAACATATTGAATTGAAGAGAGATTAGTATGGGATTAATTTAACATTAATCAATATTGTATCTGATAATTATTCTAATTTTGAAATAGGTGGAGTTACGGGCATGGATGATTTTCTGATTAAGTTCTTCCCTAAAGTTCATGAGAGAAAGCTTCATGCAGCAGAAAACAATTACTGTAAATATGATGACCAAATGCTACAGCTTTTTACCTCTTCCTTGTACCTAGCTGCCCTTGTATCCAGCTTTGGCGCGTCAAAAGCGTGCAGTATTTTAGGACGCAAGCCCACTATTTTCTTGGCTTCAGCGTTTTTTATTGCTGGTGCCGCGTTTAGTGCAGCTGCTGAGCAGAAATGGGTGCTCATTCTTGGTAGAATTCTATTTGGGATTGGAGTAGGATTCGGAAATGAGGTATGTCCAATTGGCAAACTTAAGCTATAAGATTTAGTTTCTTTTTCTGTTTTTTTAAAACTGTTTAGTATTTCTCAATCCACATTTTACATATGTTTCAAGATACTAATAATTAGTGCATTCTCCGAAAATTGCAGGCTGTTCCTTTATTTTTGACAGAAATTGCACCTGCACAGCACAGGGGGGCAGTAAACATTCTGTTCCAACTCTTTGTAACCATAGGAATTCTAGTTGCTAACCTAGTGAACTATGGAACATCTAACATGCATCCCAATGGATGGAGAGTATCACTAGGACTGGCAGCAATTCCTGCATTCGTTTTACTTATAGGTTCTTTGATCATAACCGAAACTCCATCTAGCCTTGTCGAACGTGGCAAAGAAACTCAAGGAAAAGTAGCACTTAAGAAGATCAGAGGTGTTGACAACGTTGATGCAGAATTTCAGCAAATCATTCTAGCCTGCGAACAAGCCAAAAAAGTCCAGAAACCATTCAAGAAACTCTTCAAACGCGAAAGCACGCCGCCTCTAATCATCGCCATTTCTCTGCAAGTCTTCCAGCAATTCACCGGGATCAATGCCATTATGTTTTATGCACCAGTCTTGTTCCAAACACTTGGATTCAAGAGCGATGCTTCATTGTTGTCCGCGGTTATCACGGGTTTAGTGAATGTTGGCAGCACTTTTGTGTCAATTTTTGCTGTTGATAAGGCTGGAAGAAGGAAATTACTTCTGCAAGCTTGCGTTCAAATGTTAATCTCCCAGGTATATACTAGAATCAATAACAAACTAAGATTTGTTCATTAATAAAATTATGGTGGCTGTGTTCGATTCATTCTAGATATATAAGAAAAGATCCAAATCAACAAGATTCTTACCAACTACCACAAGCCATATTAATTTAGTATATCTTTTCTTTTTCTCATGTTCTGCCAAGATCACATCACTCTTATAAATTAAATCTTCTTCAAGTCAATGCAATACCTGTTTGAACCACTCAATTAATCCTTCCCTTAATTTAACTCATCAATAATGTGATCATTCTACAATTAAACAAGATTCAATCAAAGTGATAGTAATCTAAACTATGTTGTCTTGTGATTACAGCTTGCAATTGGATGGATTTTACATGTCCACTTGAAGGAAACAGGTTCACTCGACAGGACTCTTGCAGCCATTGTGGTGATACTAGTGTGCACATTTGTAATGTCCTTTGCATGGTCATGGGGTCCTCTTGGTTGGTTAATTCCAAGTGAAACCTTCCCAATGGAAACAAGAACAGCAGGATTTGCCTTCGCAGTGAGCTCAAACATGATTTTCACTTTCATCATTGCTCAGGCATTCCTGTCAATGCTATGCCACCTGCAAGCCTACATTTTCTTCTTCTTCTCTGCTTGGATTCTTGTAATGGGGATTTTTGTTGTATTCCTATTGCCGGAGACCAAGGGCGTCCCGATCGACTCTATGGTCGAAACAGTATGGAAGCAGCATCCAGTGTGGAAGAAATTCTTCACGGATGAAGCTCCCAAGAGCTATGAGATGGCCTGAACATACACATATACATTCATTCAAGGATAATGTTTTTCAAATCAAATCTTTTTATCGTCTTTGCTTTGTATTGCAATGTGTTATAACACTTATGGTACATTGTACTACTGGCTATTTTGTGCTTAATTGAATTTCATTATATAAAAATAAAAACCACCACACTACAAGAAAAAAAATTGCTTTTAATGACCAAATTTATTATTGAACTACTAAACTACTAACTAAAGAGATTAAATTTAGTTAATGCCTTCAACAAATAATTAAATATTAATTATCTAATAATCTAATTGGTAAAATTATTAAATTTATAAAAAGTAATGTTTAACTTAGATTGAGAAATTTCTATAGTTCCAACAAATATTTCCCACATATTATTAGAATACTTGTTTGAGATAAAACAGAGTTGTTCAATAATGTATCAAGACTCAAGTTTAAATTATTGACAGATTATTAAACGGTACTTACATCTCTCTAAACATATACTATAGATAATATTAAGCTTAGAGATGATTAGTTTTTCAATTGTAACACATTTATATCTTAGTTATGAAAATAATAGATTGTCTAATATATTAAAGTTCAACACAAAGTTATGAACTATATATTCGAACATAATATTTAATTCAATTACATGTATAAGGAATTTTATTATACTTGATTCATCATGCTCAATCCGATAGGAACGGTCAATCAATATCCATACATATACACATTTGTGAAACTTTTGCATTTTTCCACGTTTAGTCAACAGCCTATTCGATCGATGTCCTGATCTTTAAACGTCAAGGTATTGTTAATATGGAATTTGATAAAGCTACAACTCTTTCATTCTTTCACAAAATACACAACTAATTTAATTTTCTTTTAAATAGTAAAAAGATAAAATTTTATTGTATATTGTTATTCTACACATTTTTCATTAATTGATTTCTTAAAAACTTTTGATCAGTGATTAGATTAAAAGTTAAATGCGTGATTGTCAAAATAAAATAAAATAAAATAAAAATGGAACGGAAAGTTCAATATATGTTGCAATATAGATTAAATAAAATAGAGCTTGTAATTCAAAAAACAATAAAAGAAAATCATGTTTGAACATGTCATCTCACCATCTCGAAAAAATTATTCATCACCGAAATTCAGCAGCTGGTCAGCGTGGCCGACAGTCACTTCAACCATGCCGATCTCTTCTACTTCCCTACTCCAACTAAGATGAAAGATGTTCAACCTTCTTTGCCACACTCATTTGTAGATGTCACAGGTTCATGCAAATCGGGGTGTCTGGTGTCCCATATGAAGACAAGTATTTTTACCAACTTTTTTTTTTTTTTTTAAATCATTTTTACTTAAAAGTAATTAAAACTATTAATTAAAGATAAGTTATCTCTTTCTAGCCAAGCAAACAGCTTATTTAAGGGTCTTTCAAAAGATTTGCAATTTTCCAAGTGAAATAGGAGCCCCTATTTATATGTGTGAGGTTAGAAGAATTAATATCATTTTGAAGAAATTTCTTAAAATTATTTGTGGCATTTACTGTGTTGTTGGCAAAATTTTATTGAATTGTCGAGTGCTGCGATCATCCCTATCCATGTTGCGCAATAGCCGTGAAAACACTGCGCAATCATTTCTTATATTCAGCAGCTTAATTTTCTTAATTTATTCAATAATTTTCTTTGTACCACTAAATGCCTCATTGTTAGTACAACACCAAGTTTCCTAAGTTTTTCTAAAAATCCTAGAATGATACAGGTCCGGTCCAAGATTTTGAAGAGTGTTCAGCTAGGCTTGGATCTTATTTTCAGTATTTATTTTGTGAAGGGACTAATAATGAAGCAGAAATGAAAGCACACTTTGAAGGTACAATTATGCTGTGAGTTGGAGCTAAATCATATTGATATTGAGTGTGACTCACTGTTGACGGTCTCATGGATTCATTTTATCTTTGAAATGTTCTTTGTGAAACTTTCGGGATGATCTTTTGGATTTATTACAGAAGTTCAATTACCCAGTGACACATCAATGGAGGGAAGGGATTAGGCGTGAAGTGGGTATACATGATACATGCATGTGAATTGTCCTAGTTAGCCCACTAATTTTGACTCATTTTATTCGAGCATTCTTTTTGTCTGTTTAATTCAAAAAAGTGTACGATGATTCCTCTGCAAATTAATGTATTTTAAAAAAAATATTAACCCTAGATGCATTGCACGCAGCATAAAAAGACTCCCATGAATAAATTGTCAACAATTGCATGAAACTGAGTTATATGCCGGCAGGCGCGGAGCCAGCACCCGGCGAGGGGGCGCGGCTGCGCGTGCTGGCTCCGCCGGAGTCTTCAGTGGCTGCAGCTGCAGGGTTGGCAGCAAGCTCCTGCGCGCAGCGATTGTAACCGGAGGAAGTGGAGAAGACAACCGGATTTTCCATTTTTCCTTTGGGCTAATGTAACCGGAAATTGGGCTTTTTTTTTAAAAAAAAAATTAGGCCCAAATGTGGATAGTGGATCCATTCAAACGGTCCATGGATATGGCTTTAATTGGTATTTCTCTCAAACCCAAATCCCCCAAAATCCATTTGCAGAACGGCACAGAAGGCGATATCAAACCCTTGGTCGGTTGGTCCCTCACCCAGTTACCCTTCAATTTCCATTCGAAGTTGTAGCACTAGTTGCAGCTGGAGGTGGTGATCGTGTGCCGCCGGTGTGCGAAGTCTTAGGGGTGAATCTCTGACCGGCGACAGACTCTGAGGCGACTGGCAAAGGCCGAGCAGCCAGCAGTGTGCATTGGTGATTGGTGAGTTTAATAAGTCCAATACTTGAAGTTGAAGAGTTGAATATTGAATTGTTTTAGTTGTCTCATGTCTGATTGTCTCACTTGTCTGTAAGACTGTAACTCTGCAAATTGTTTTGACAAACTTGACGTATTTTATTTGTTGATTTGTGCAATTGTGCTGGTGCAAGTGCAACTGCAATTTGTCTCGTGTATTTTTTGATTTGTGCAACTTCAATTTATGATAATTAAATCATGTTGATGGTTCGTTCGTTCTCAAGTTTTTGAAAAGTTGAATTATGAATCTATTTTTTTTTTTTTTTTTGTCTCTTAATCATTTTAAGCATGTTTGGGAGAACTTATTTGGTACTTATTTTGACATAGGTCTACCTTATTACGAAAATAGTAATTTATTTTTAAATTTCATTAATAAAAAAGTTATTTTAAGTCTTACTATTTACTTACAAGCAATCTTTTTAAACTTAGAGACATAGTATTATGATTTAAATATTATATTGGATGTTGGTACAAATTGTGTTTTGGTAGAGACAATGATATACAGTGGATTCTTCCCAAGTTAATTTGAACACTCTATCAAGATTGGCTGCTTAGTGTCATTAATGAAACTTTAATTTTGTATTATAGTATTGCAAAACTTGTGATTGTGCATATGTTTTAAATCTTTATATTAATTATTTTTGATTGCTTCAAAATTTCAAATGATATGAAAATCGAGTTTGAGATAAACAATGTATGTAGATCATGAAAAACAAACTTATGCTTCTGACATTCTATCTCTAGAAAAAGCACATATTTATCAAATATAATGTTTACATTTTAGTGCATTTACATATATATCGAACAATTTTTAATATTATTTAATCAAAATTTAATACGAACTGATTATCGACGGTCGACTGTCAAAGTCAAAGTCAACGCCCTAGCTGAACATGGAGTCTAGATCCGTCCCTGTATGCCGGCATTATTTTTACGATGGTGTCCCATACGTTGTATTTTTGCAAAGCTAACCCCGGATGTACTATCAATTTCATAGCTAGGGATGGCAATTCGGCTCAGTGGCTCGAGCCTAGCTGACTCACGTGCCAAAACTTGAGGCTCAGCTCGACTTGAGTAAAAAAAAAAAAAAAAAAGCCCGAGCCGAGCCGAGCAGAGCAGAGCAAGACAACAGACAACTAGGTATGGGAAAAAAGGTGAGAATTTATTGAATACAAAATTGGGTTTTTTTCCATAATTGTAGAAATTTTAGTAATACCCCACGTGAATCAAGGAGTTCAAAATTTTGGCATTCTTTGTGAATTAAAGAATTTTTTTTTTCCCTTTTTCGTTTTTTATGCCTTAGTAAATTAATGTGAACTATGAGATTATTCGTCACATCTTCATTGGCTCTTTCTTGCATTACCTTCTCCACTGTATATTGAAACCTTCACACATAACCTTTTGGAAAAATATAACCTCTATATGCTTGCAGGCGCCGTGCTGCATAAAAAAGCAAACTATCAGTAAAATGACAGTTATATGCGAAGATAACTTGTGATGGTTCCCTAGTGGAGATGTGATCCATTGTCCATTCAACCATTCATTGTCTTCAGGACTTTCAAGTAAAAATTGTTATTTCAAATGTAATTCCTAGTATTTTGTCGCATGATGCATAAAAAAAGCAATCAGCCATTGAATGACATGTAGAAAATTGGAATTCTATTCAAAAGTTTAATCTATTCGATGGAGTAGCTCAATTTCTTATGAACCCGTCATTTACTCAATAGCTAACCAATATAGTAGGAATTTTTGTTTTCACTTTTCCAATATGAAAGTGACAGTCACATGCAAGGATGATGTTCGATGGCATCCAGATGGGACGTGATCCAAAGAACATATGCATTGCCTTTCCGTAAAGATAACCTAGGACCTTAATCTCAACTTTTTATTTTACAATGTTTTGTGGGCTTAATGCATGAATATAATCCACCCACCTTGAAATTAGCAATAGAACATTAGCTTAGTGATTAAAGTCGCATGATCTATGGTTGGGAATTAAAGATACGAGATTCTACAAGATAACTGTGATTGATGTGACGTTAATACCGTCATTCTCTTTGGGACTCAACATAGAGAAGTTATACATGTTCTTCCTACCTGTTGTAGTCAAAATCTGTCCACCTCTAAACTGGTCTTGAAAAACTATTGCAAGAACGCTGAAGCATTTATGGATAAATGGTTGGTGAACTCCCGATTGCACCTCTAATGAATAAATCATGTTTGTACGAAATTAATAGAGAATTAAATCTGGTAGCACGTATTTGAATTGTAAATTGTAGTTTGCTCGAAGAGACTATAGAATCCTCTATATATTTATAATCACAGGAAGTCCCATGTGAAACAACTTATTCATCGTATAATAGTTTTACTACGAAACTATAATATCAAGATTTAATTTACTTAATTTTCATTCACAAAACTTTCTTAATTTCTTTCATATTTATCAAATTGTCAAAAAGAGACTAATTTTATCAAAATTTTAGTAATAACAACAAAGAGAACAAACCAGAAAAAAAAAATAAAAAAAATTATGTAACTAAGTCCATGATGTACCTGCAGATTCTCCACAAGTTTCTTAGAATTTTCAATTATTTATGATTAGTTATATGAAGAACTTGCTTATAATAGAAAGGGAATGACGGCACTAACATGGGGGTAAAAATGATATGCTCGTGTAAGCAGTATGAATTGAATTTTAATATCTTCTTTAAAATAGAACTAATAAAAATAATTAAATGAGAAAAACTCAAGATGCCAACTTTAAATTTTTCAAAAGATACTTTTTGAATTCAATTATAGTGCCAATCTGAGTGTTTACGAGTGTATTATGTCGTATGTGGTATCTAATTCTCTAAATCTTGTTCTAAATAAAATTAAAATCGACCAATTAAATCTTTTTCGTCACTCTATCGACAATCTTTAATTAATAGAAAAGAAATGATGCAAAAATTGGCACACTCTATCTCCTAAGTTTAGCATTTAGTATTTAATTCAAGAAAATCAAACCCACACCGATGGTTTTTGATGCAAAGTAATGTCCTTTAGCTCTTAGTGGGATGACCTAATGTATTCGAATTTTACATGCATAAAGCTTGGGAAAGCATGCTCGTTTAGAATCCCCAAAGGTTAATGACCTTATTTATTTTGTATTAATGGCCTGTACTTTGTTAGGACCACATTTGCTCATTGAGCTCTAAAAGAAAAACAAGCATCAGCTACTGTCACATATTCATCGACGAAAATTTGGAATCAACTGCTAATTAGCGACAGATAATCGTTCTCATACATAACGGTGTCACATTACTATAGGCGTGTCATTTTTATTAGTGTAATTAGCTGTCTTTATTTTATTCTTGTCTTTGTCACATACGTAATCACTATTCCTAGCTGTTATCTGGTGAAAAAGTTGCATAATGAAGTAATTTCTTTCCATTACAATAATTTAATATCAAGATGAAACCCATGTCTAAGATGACTTCATGATTCTCAGTCTGTAACCTTATCTCCAATATGCTTCAACTTGAATAATAACCCCAAATATATGCTTTCCTTATACCTCTGATCTATGGATAATGAAGTTACATACACATGAGATCTATTGTTATAGCAATGTTTTTTACATATATTTTAAACAAAATATTTTTTTAAAAAAATGAGTAAATTATAATTAATTTCTTCATGCTCGTTCCAATCTCAAAGCCGCCCATTACTTGTAGTAGAACTTTGCACGAAGATTCCTCCTGTGATATGAGTTACGATCTCCTCATAAACTTTTGCGTAACTTAAAATTCTGCTTTCATTTTATTTTCCAGAGGTTAGGTCTAATCCTCTCCTCTCCTACGATATACTTCACATTTTATATTAATAAAACTGTGCCCTGTGTGTGGTTTGCTTAAAAAAAAAAAAAAGAAATCTACGTAAAAGCATAAAACTATAAAAAATTGATTTCATTTGGCCACCTGCGCATAGTTTTCAATTTTTAGAAAGCTACAACAGTCCATTGAAAATACATATATATGGTACTTAGTCACTTGTGCTAGCTGGCCACTTTTCTATTTTCTCCATCCTACAAGGTTTGAACATGCTCATCATTTCCATACTTAGAATTCTAGGAGTAAAGTTCACAAGGCAAAGAATCAATTAAGGACAGGCAACTTCATTTTTTGGGCATTGAACCGTCACTTGCTTTAACATTTAGGGTAGGTCATTTGTTGTCTACTCCCACCACCAGGAACAGAATCAAAGTGGATACATCAAAAAAGGTTTTTCTCTGTGAAATTTATGAATCGAAAGGGCAAAAGGGAATTAGGTTAATGTTGATAGGTTAACACCTAGCAGACAAAACCAAAAGGTCTCTTAGTGCACCATGATATCACTTGCTACCTTTCTTTTTAAAGAGCTTTAGTGTATTTTTATGATTAAATTTTCTTTTATATTTTATAAACATCGGTTCAAAAATAGAATTATGTTAGCTACTACACCAAATAAATTAGTAGAGAAGAAAATCAGGTTTCAAAAATGAAATCAAATAATGTGCACGAGATCTTTACTAAATGAAAAAAAATTTAACGCCTACTAAATTTATTAAGTAAACATGATTAATGTCGTCTAATCTAATATATGAGAGACACGCTAGAATTCCTCATTTTACTAGCGAGCTAACGTTATCAAGACGCCTATATAGAAATGTGGTAAGCGCTTTTAGGCAGGGGTATGCTTACCAAGAGCTTATAATTTTTTGCTTTCTCATTTTCATATATTTTAGGTACTACATGCAGGGCGGATATAGGAATAGCTCCACTAGGCTCCTGCAAATCCCTAAACGTGGGAGAAGAAATTATGGAAATAATAGATTTTATTAAACTTTTTTAAATATTAACTCACTCAACATAATCGTCTATTTCCTTTCCTGGCTACATGTGTGACTATGATAAAAGGAGCTTCACAATTAGACTAGAATAAAGGAATGTTTGCTTGTAAATGTACTCATGCCGCTTAGTTACATTTATTAATTAATTCTATATGCTCTCAGTTTCATATTTCACTTGAAATTCGATTTGAGACTTCCACACCAACATTCTCATTAGCATCACGTACGTGGAAGTAGAACGAACAACAATGCTGATAACATATTGGCCCGGCCCTAGCTAAAATCCATCTGTCCCCTCCCATACTACATGTGTGAATTAATTGTACACAAGGACACATAATCATCATAACATATTTTATCCACTTGAGCTCATAAACTACGATGACTTAGAGTTTGTTTAGGAGTGATTTTGAGAATTGATTTTTTGACTGTTAGGAGAAAAGTGGGGTTCACCCGTGAGAGAAAAAGTCAAATATGAAGGCTGAAATAGTGAAATAACGGTCAAAAAATCAATTTTTTGGGTAGAAAAATCGCTTCCAAATAGGCCCTTAATTTTATGCTAAACCAATTTATCTAGTCATGGAATAATGTCTATATTTTCTTTTCTAGTGCGTGACATATTAATATTTGTATAATCCAAGTGGTGCAAAAAGCAAACCCTTTCCCTTGGCCCCTACAATATAGACAACACACACTAACAAAAGATCTCTCTATAAATCAACTTTTGGACACTACAAATACAGACTCAACCCTCGCTTGTTCTTCATTCAATCTTCTCTCCGCTTCTCCTCATCCCCTCTCTTTCTGTCTCTCAAAATTGTTCTTCATCTTCCTCAACCCATAAATTCTCTAATTTTTCGTTCAAGTATCATTCACATTTAGGCGTATTTTGCCATGTCGACAGTAGTTTATCAAAGTCTGGTGTCACATTTCGAGTCTCAAGTGACAGAGGCAACAATCTTAAGGATGAAAGTGGCGCCTGCACCAGACGTGGGCAGGGGCTCCTGCAGTGCAAGAACTGATCAAAGCAAGAACGAAAATCTTGAAATAGGCAATTGGAGTTTTCTTCATAGCCTTACCAAGATTCCTACGTGTCCTAAGGAGGAAATGGAAAATGATAACTCATATGTTCATAGAAAATCTTCATTTCCAAAACTAAATGGGAAAAGTCTGGATCTTTGTACTGAAAATTTGGGAAGTGAAACAGGTACTGAATGTATCGCGGACAGCACCAGTATTTTCTCACTAGACACATTCAGTTCGCAGTGTGAAACTTCATGTCCAATGAATCAGCAACAGCAAAAGGTGCATCAACAAATGAAATCTTCAAGAAATAATAAGATGACGACTTCTTGTCGCAGTTTCCCACCGCCCTTGACAACGATGAGCGGGTCGAGTTCTCTCCAAATAAGGGCTCACCGCGAAGACGGAAGGCTAATCATCAAGGCAGTCGACGCCCCCTTTAGGCATTCTTATCTGCAATCTGAAAGAAGCCACGGCCGCCTCAGGTTGTCATTTTTCCAAGATTACGATTCAAACTTTGATTCTGATCTTATAATGACCACGGAAGAAGAAACTGAAGCATACTGCCAAATAGATGATGAAATCAAAAGCGAGTTGAATGATGGAGAAGATGAGCTAGAAAATGAAGAAACCGTATCAGAACAAGATGACGATGATGATGTTCACGATGAATGCGATGTAAAACTGACTGAGACTATGGATGTAGAAATTGAAATGCAGAAAAATCAGAGGCTTACCAGGTGCAATGAAGGTGGAGAAGGTACTGAAGGATTGTGTAATTGGAAGCCTGCATTTTGGGTGGCTACTTCTTAATATTTTTTTTTACTTTTTTTTTGTGGATCTTTATTTTTCATTCTCGAAATCTCCAAATTTAAGTTAGTCATTTTACCTTTTTCATCACCTTTACTTCTGTATTTCTTTATTTCGGCCATACACTATGATGTTGGCAGTTATTATCGTTATTGGACCACAAACTCTTTTCAACCCCCACCCATAAACCCTTTCTTGAACACTTATTCGCATAATGTTCTGACATTTTTATATGCATGTCAATCTTGATATAGTAAAAGAAAACTACAAAAATGAATCAGACAAAATGGCTGCAGAATTGTATTCTCGAAAAATTTTCTTCAGAGCAAAGACATCGTTACTCGTACATCTTTTTCTAGTTGAGGAATGGAACTGTCCATTTTCTCTACATTATTTTGGGAATGACCCTAAATCGTGTATTCTAATGTGATGCAATACATGAGTCTATGACTCATATTGGAGAACAGAGCAAATTAAGGGATTGATAGTAAACAGAACCACAATGGTGTAGCCCTAAAATTTTTAGAATTATGCTAGTTGTACATTATTCGTGTACAACTTGGATGATATTGAATACGTGGCAAAGTCGAGATTATTGATTGTTTTAAGTATTGTAGCAATCAATGATAAAATTGTATGTCACGATACAATGTTAAGTAAAATGACAACTAAAATGTATGTATAACAAAACTGATTTTTTTTATATTGAGTCAAACTCTTGGAGTTGACCAAGTTTCTATATTTTTAAAATAAATAGTGGATTTGGGTTTTCAAGCGAAGAGAATCGAATCCTCTCTCTTCAATTATTTCAAAACTTTACATGCATATTTTTCAAAATAGAGGAAAATCACTGATTTTTTTTAAGAAAAAGAGGAAGCTCGAAAAAAATGAAGGAAAATTTCGAATCATTATTTCTTATAGAAAAATGAAATTAAATATTAAATTAAAAAAATGTTGCTGAATATGCATAAAAATTCTCACTATTTTTATATTTTCTTCAAGTTGATCTTTAGGTTGAGGTACTCTCTAGTAAAGTTTAGTGGGTTAGAAGGATTTTAGGAGAAGTCTCTACCTAATTTTTATCTTTTACAATTCTTTTTACATTGAAACTTAATTATATGCACATAAAAAAAGAAATTCCATAATACAATATTTAGTGTACAAACAAAATGGTTTATACGATGGCTGCCTAAACTTTACGAGTTATGGCTATGAGAAAGCTTCTATAGATGGTTTTTATGACGTATTTTCAGTTATGATCACCTTTTTTATGTCATAAAACCTAAAATTTATATAGATTTATTTAATGAACGTACAATATTGACGTAACATAAAAATATTATAAATTTTCCATATATGCATTAATTAATGTTACATGTAGATTTCAAGAGTTATTTTAAACAATTTTCATTTCGTAAAGAAAGGGTTTTTTTTTTTTTAAATTTAATTAGTTATTGAATTGCCAAGCCAATATGAATGAGTATATGACAACCCTATTAAATGATTTTGAGTCATATTATAATTTCCAAAATAAAGGACCTTCATGTTGGTAAAATGTAATGTCCCATACTGAATAACTTCATTAATTAGTTTTTATTTCAATATAGCTAGTTTATTTTACTTGAGGTAATTAATTATTGTCATAAGACTAGGGACTAAGGAAGAAATTTCAATTACGTTTCTTAACTAGGTCGGGTAATCTCTATAAGGGGCCAACCGAAATACTTGATGTCCTAAGTCGTAAATATTCTCTAATCATCATGTAATTAAATTCGTTCTTGTGATATTTGTGTTTCGATGATGCTGCTTGCAACATCAAATATGTTCAAGTAGTATGCGTTTGAAGATGAGTACAACTTACTATCACAACCACCCATTTGGAAAGAATGTGTGTTAATATATTCAATGTTTGACCCTCTTCTTCGTCTTGTTGTCTAGAGAATCAAATGTAATTCTATTGACAATTATAAACAGCAAAATGATCTACACGCTGATAAAGTATTTTTTTTTTTTTTAGACTCTCCTCCACAGTGATTGCTCCATATCAAATTTATGGCCGCAAGGTCCCACCAGGAATCGAACTCTCCACCCTGTCGCTGGAAGCAAGACAATGTTGATTGATCCACCAGTTGAGCTGTGCCCCGAGGGGCCTGATAAAGTATTTTCTTTGTCTTAATTAACGTGGTACATGCCACCCCTGCATGTTTTAATGAATAATAAAATTTTGACTTACATGCAATCCTTTGTCTTCTTATAATTGCTTGTGAAGAAGAAAAACAGAGTTGATAAAAAAAGAAAAAAAAAAGAAAAAAAAAGGGAATTGGAGAATAATAGCATGATCCCCTATCAAGTACTTGAACCTAAATGCAAAACGTCAACAACATTTCTTGAATATACCGTTTGAATCTAAAAATCGAGATGCAAAGTCTAAAAGAGAGAATGAACAATGGAATTATATGTTGGAAACAAAATATGAGATCAAAAAAATACGAGTTTAGCTTGGATCGACAGACTGGGTCAATAGTTGAGCAATATGGAGATTGCTTTTAGCTTCCTTATGAGGAATGATTATTATTATTATTATTATTATTATTATTATTATTATTATTATTATTATTATTATTATTATTATTATTATTGCTTTATTTTCGCATTCATGTAAATTGTATTCTTGTTTAATCCAAAGCTTATTACATTTATGATCTATTTACAAATATCATAAATAAAATAGATGGCTTTATTATTTTCTTAAAATGTCTAGCTATCTCTTTTAAGTCAAAATTGCTCAAATTAACAAAGTCATAATGAGTTCGTGGTCTCTCGACAAAGATTGTGTATAAATATAAATAGATAAATTATTTCGACTCCTAACTACATAAGCCATAGTTCAACATATATTACTTTGATTCCATCATTTTGTCTCTCCACATATCTCTATATTGCAAGTGTGCAAACGTCTATGGCAACAAAAATTAAGCCCCCCGTTTGGGAGTGCTTTTTCAAAAAAAAATTTTGACAGTTATTTCTTTATTTCAATCATCATGTTTTACTTCTTCACTCATAGATGGCTTTTACTTTTCTACCTAACAGTCAAAAAATCAATTTTCATAAACACTATCGAACGGGCCCTAAAACATGAAGCAGAAAAAAAGACATTATTGGTTTTGGAAGGATGATGAATAAGATCATCCTCCACCACTGTTGGATCTATTGCACATACAAAATATATCTAGCAGCAAAGATTTGAACCCCAAACCGTACAAAAATTGGGTCGACAAAATCGGTCTACTCAGGAATATCTTCACGTGTTTCCATTAATACGCATTGCACAAAATCTGGAGAAGATGCGTGTCAGTGAAAATATACAATCTGGAAGTGAAAGTCGCGAGTTGAGACCTACAGAGCTGCAAGACAGTCACAATGGGACAAGCACCCTTTGGAGCTTAATGTATTGTTATTATTATTATTATTTTTTTTTTTGATACCCAGATATCCTAATTTCGCCAGACTAAATTCTGAACCTCTAGCCACGGACCTCTCAGTGACTCGAGGAGGTAAATCGCAGGTTATGCCCTTGTTGGCTCCCAAGTTCCCACTTGGTTTATACTCTTGGCCCTAAGAGAATCCTCCTCACTGCGTTGATCAGGAATCGAACTCTCCACGTTGAGGTTGTAAGCCCGTCATAGTGATTGTTCCACCAACTCGAATGTGCCCTGGGGGGCGAGCTTAAAAAAAAAAGGTTGAACCCCAACCTTAAAGGTCCCCCACCGCCCCTGTCCTGGAGTATCGTGAGAGAGGTAAATCGCAGGTTATGCCTCCAAGGGTACAGGTGGAAGGCTGCTTGTACACTTGCACTTACCCAAGAGTCAAATCCATATTTCAGAATTCGAACCCTTGACGCGGCAGCCTCAAGTAAAGTTGGATTTCTCCACCTTCCCCTTTTACCACTTGGAGATGTGCCCTGGGAGGCGAGCTTAATGTATTATTGTAGTAGGCAAAGGGGAAAATTACAACGAAATTTTCAACTTTTTACGATTATTCTTAACTCCTACAAGTGAGAATTTTGTCTTCCATCTCTTGAAATTTATAAATTTGGTTCCTTATGTAATCGAGCATTCACATTTTTGTGGCTTAAAGTTGGAGAGCAAAAATGCCAAATCACTCAAATTTTTTTCTAATTCGATTGAAAGTCATGCTTGCAAATTCACTTTTTTGTAGTCCTAATTGACGATCTCAACCACAGGGGAACCAGATTTATAAATTTAAATGATTGAAGAATCAAATCATTACTTTTAAAGCTCGGAGACCTATAGGCACATCATCTACAAAGTTAGGGATAAGGATGGCATTGATTTGGGTAAGCTATTACCATCCCGGAACCGTCAGGATTTTTGAGATGCGAGGTGGAGCGGAAGCATGCCGGATTAAAAAATAATTCATGTACCAACCCTTTTATTTATTTATTTAAAATACGATTTAAATTGAAAACATAACAAAAGTAAAATAAAATAAAAAGATTCATGATGAGTTGAGATAATTCAGGACGAGAGCCAAAATCCCCATGGCGACGAATTTTGCCATCCCTAATTGAGGAACACTATCCAAATTTATATATTTAAAAACGGATAGAGATTCAAAACCTCACTTTTAAAGATTGAAAATACATAACTACATCAAGTGAAAGATTAGGGGTGCTCAACCCTAATTTTCTCTCTTGCAATCTATAAACCTTTCCATATAGATTACTTAGAAGATATATATGTGATGCATATTAGTAATAAACAAAAATAGACAATATAAAAGCTTTTATATCCTCTTCATTTGCTCAATATTATCAATAAATGTTGGCAAACAAGTCCACTGCCCACTTTGCACGTGGAAATTTGTTAGTATCGCATGTGTAGAAAAGGAGCTCCATCATCGGGTCCAATGTCCCAATCCACGCGTTTATGGTTGGACCATGAATATAAGCTAAATTCTTTTGACCAAACCTTTAAAGTAATTACAAAATTCACAATCATATTTTGTTGATTATTACCTTCAGTGATTGATATAATCTGAATCTCTAAATTAAAATCGAGCGTGTT